GGCGGGAGGTGGGGGGAGAGACAAGGAAGCTGCTGCCCCCCAGGCCGTTCTTCCACCCTGCTGCCGTGGGACAGGCCTTTCCCCACTCAGGTGCAGGGATGAAGGGTCCCGCTCCCTGCCCTCCATCCGCTGGGGCCTTGGCCCCTCGTTGACATGGGGCTGGCGTCTGCCATGGAAGGGACATGAGACGTTCCCTGGGGTAGCCCGCAGAGCGAGGAGCATCCTCCCTACGGAGCGACGGCTCAGCTGGGAGCTACCGCTGCTTGGCAGTCTCGTCCAGGGCCCATTCACCAGTGGTCTCCAGATGGAAAGAGAGAAGGAGCTGTGCATGGCTGTTTTCAGGGAGATCACAGGAAGGGATCTCCTCAGCTACATCTCCGAAGGTAAGGAATACGTCAAATTAATTCAGTGCCTCTGTAACATAAAGCCAGTAAAGTCACCGCTGCATTGAGTTTATGGCGAAGTGTCCAGGTTATCATTGGTCGTCAGGGATTAAGGATGGGAACAAGCCTGAATCTGTGGGTGAAGAAGGGGTGTTGCCCTCCGAGTCCAACTTTAAACTAGGGTTTGGTAAAGGCTCACGGTCTCTAAGTCCCTTTCCTTGTCTTGCTGAGCATTGATGTTGGCTTCTCTTTCATTAAGATGATGAGGCCAGTAGTGGGAATGCAGATGACAGTCCCCTGGCAGATGATCCCAAGAACCGGAAACAATATGAGACATCACTGGAGACATTTGAAGATAATGCTTTCCAGAGATGTGGCAAGGCAGAGGCCTACGAGAGCCAGCACGTGTCAGAAATGCACCAGAGGGACCTCCCTGGGGAGAGATGGGATGACTGCATTCATCCAGAAAAGGCCCTTGAGGGCCTCCACAGCATCCTTCTCCACCCAGAAGATGCTACAGGAGATGATCACTCTGGATACATTGAGTGTGAGGAAATCATCAGTCAGACATCAAATCATCAGCAAGGTGAGGCATCCCAGACAGAGAAACCCCACAAATGTCCCAAATGTAACAAGGGCTTCAGGTGGTGCTCTGATTTAATTAAACACCAGAGAACCCACACAGGTGAGAAGCCCTTCATATGCAGTGAGTGTGGGCAAACCTTTAGGGTGAGCTCCCACCTTACCTCCCACAGAAGACTGCACACAGGAGAAAGGCCCTACCCTTGTCTCAAATGCAGGAAAAGCTTCAGCCGAAACTCTCACCTTACAAATCACCAGAGAGCCCACAACGGCGAGAGGCCCTTCAAATGTGTGCAGTGTGGAAAAGGCTTCAGTGATTCCTCAACGCTCACCCAGCACCAGCAAACCCACACTGGTGAGAAGCCTTACGTGTGTTCCCAATGTGGGAAGTGCTTCAGACAGAGCGCTCACATCGACACCAGCGAGTCCACGCAGGAGAAAAACCCTTTATGTGTGCTGAGTGTGGGAAGTGCTTCCAAAACAAGACACACCTCAAGCAGCACTGTAAACTTCACCTGAAATAGACAGCAGGGCAACATTTCTCTTGGGTCTGTGAGCACTGGCGCCTTGCCTTTAAAAAGAAAAAATTAAATTATAAATTCTATAGTATGATTGAAAGAAGGAAGAAACTGCCAAGGCGAGGGGAGGGTCTCTGTCACAGAGTGAGTAGGTTGCTGATGAGGTGGGAAGGGGGTGTCAGGG